ATTTCTAAGCTTCTTGTAAAAATTTGGTTAAAAGATTCACGTTACCATAAATAAAGGCAGAAAATATAAAGATGGAAAATATACAGTAAAGACTGAAAATATACACGGAGCCTTGTTGGGATTGGATCTCATCAACTGATAGCACATACATTCTTCTAACCAGTTAAACACAAATCAATCATACGTCTAATATCCTCACATATCACCCACAATAGAGGTTATGTCTAATGTGACGTCGAGAGAACAATCGTATTGTCTCATTGGTGATGTCTCACGTAACTCAACAACATAGAACATTAAGATCTGATACTTAAGCAAATGCTAAGCCTAAATTTATGTATAGAGTTTAGAACCTAACAGGTATTCATCCTAGATCCAGATCTGAAGAGTATATGTCTATAGCGGTTCAAATCAAAGATAAACAGGTAAACAAAGATGACATCCATATCAGATAGATGATTGCTTCATATTAAATGTCATGATCAGATTACGTACATACGCTTAACTCTTTTTACATGCATTCAACTCATTTGCCAAATGTAAGTCAACATGGTTTTTCATCTCTATTATCATGCATCCTCACAATATTGTATTGATCCTACTCATGCTACTAACCAACACAATAAAATAGAAGATACAAGTGAATATCAACTTACAAAACTATGTTAAAGTTTTCTCATTGATAGATGAATATCTAAGATCTAAGATTTGGAAAGGTTTTGTAAAGACCCACAAATACGAAATCAAAGACAACATCAATATTGAATCAAAGCTAGTTCACAAACATAAATTAGATAAAATACATAAGGTATCAAAAGATTACATCCAAAACCAACAAGAGATCGAAGCTACTTACTCGAAGATCAAGCTCTGATTTACTTTAATTTTGGCTTCTCACTCTTAGGGTTTTGTTTCTCTCTCTAAAAGCATGTTTAGAATGAAGAGAGATAAAAAGATTTGAAAAATAAAATATATCTCAAAATATCTCTCAAGGTAGCTATTTATAGAAAGTACAAAAAGTGCATATAAGTGACACTGCGCTAAGCGTCATCAGGAGCGCGCTAAGCGCGGCCAGTAAAACAGAGGCAAAATCCCAGAAAGCGCGCTAAGCGCGGTTGGAGACCGCATAGCATGGTTGAAGGCCATTAGTTACTGCCTCAACAGTGAAACTACGCTAGAACTGCGTTGAGCGCGATTTATCGACACGATCACTCCAAAAATGCTCTTCCAGAACTTCTTTCCTTCACCATAGGTTCCAAGCATTATATATCAGCAAGAAGGCCTGTCAAAAAGCATCAAAATGAATATAACTTACAATATTTACAATAAAATCGGAAACTTGAATATTTACACTAAAACTTATGAATTTACTACTAAAACACCAAAGAAACAATTAGAAAGGGCCATAAAATACTATCAAAAATATGCACAATTTGGCCCTTAACAATTATATTTGAGAGATTTTTTTTTGTGTACCTTTACTCCAGACTAGCTGAAGGAAGTATGTGGAAGACACGACAATTGACTATAAATAATTGTCTTACGGTAGCGTTTTGCACCTTTATTGATATTAAAGTCATAATAGCTAAGTTAAATTGTTTTGTTACTGACATTTTATCTGAACCATTTTCAAGCATATATACACCAATAATGTCCACGTATCGCTGGATGGACATATGTGCATGACTATTATGAGTCCTTGCCACGTGCGTGCTCAATCATCCCACTCAGAGGGAACCAGACGACTAAGTTGTTCTAACTTTCTCTTGATCGCATCGTGGTGGATGATATTAACTAGATGTCATACAGAGATCACCATGAGACACGACCTTTGAAGGTGATAGTATTGTACTTTGGTTGGCTGGCTTGTGGGTATTGACTTATGTACCTCCCATCTATATGAGCGAGTCTTACAACAGTTTGGATATAACCAATGTATACCTAGAGATCACACTGTTGTTGCTTCTTCTATTGTCCTTTGTTGGGATGTTGATGAGATATTTGTAGCGTACTTTGGTCATTTGGTTTCAGATGATGTACGACGTGTGTCAACTCCCCATCCATGGAGTAAGGTATAAAGCTACATCTAAAGGTTTTATAGAGTGTCACATCTTTTCATGACACCAGATGCATGGGGAGATCCCTCGAGGCTAGCTCGTCAGGAGATCTTAGAGGAGGAGAACGCGAGGGCAAACCATGACGTTGATGTGTTACATATATGTCACTACATTGTGGCAATTGGGGGGAGAGAGAGAGAGAGAGAGAGAGAGAGAGAGAGAGAGAGAGAGAGAGAGAGAGAGAGAGAGAGAGAGAGAGAGAGAGAGAGAGAGAGAGAGAGAGAAATGATAGCTAGGGGTGAGTTTGTGGAGGACACTCATATGATGGCCACTCAACAAATCATCTTAGCATAGGCATAATATATGTTACAGTACCGGCGACAGAGGAGGAACAGGGACGTCTAGTATACTTAGTAGTGGGATTTAATTTTGTATATTTTGATATTTTTGTAATATGATTTGTATTTGGATTAATTATGACATGGTAAAATTTTGTATTTGACATTTTGGCATTTATATATACGCATGAGTTCTTCTATTTTGATTTTATCATAGAAAGACAAATGTGTATGATTTTTTATGAGATTTACTTATAAATGACTTATAATTCAAGTTTATTTAAAATAATGTCAAATTTCATCTACCTTACTATCAAAGGGTGAAAAAAACATCAAATGGTAAACTCAAAGATTGGAATTCGGACCTATGATTCAGAGATTGAAATTTAAACCCATTTTCTTTTTAAAAAATGGAATGTCTCTATTAGAAAGTGATTTTGTTGAAGAGCGGGTGCATGCGAAGATTGAAATCCGAAGTATACGAAGGCATTTTGGAGTTTCTATATGATATGTGATCACTACATGAGATGTAGTGAACAACACCCAAAATTCTTTGTAATGAGGGGTTTTGTTGGTCAAATATTTTTGATATACCAAAACTTTTTATTTTTTTTAAGGACTTATACTAATATATAAAGTCAAAACACACTTTTGATGTAGTTTTTGTTTTTTTTAAATATACCTATTTAGTTTGTTTTTTTTTTAATCTTATCTTCTCTTTTTGATAAATGGTGATTATATAATTTTATAAATAATTTAAAATTAAACTTACGAGCATGAATATTAAAAAAAGCAAACTGACACAAGGCTAATGATAAGTAAGTACCGCCTATTTTTTATATCAGGTTTGTTATTCCTACACTTCATTTGTACACCAATACATACACCAGCATATTTTCTTAAATAAAAAAATATTTTCATAAATAGTAAATGAACCGTGCATAAACAGTACCCATGAACAGTACGTGAACAGTGTACATGAACAGTATCTGTGAACAGTAGTTTAAAATAGTGAATAAAATTGATTAATGAAATATAAAAAATTGGTTAATGAAGTGATGAAGGTTGTTAATAGACGCTCAGAGTTAAAAATATTTTTAATAGTAAACCAAAGTTGATTAATAAAAAGTAAAAAGTTGGTTAATGAAGATATGAAATTGGTTAATCGTGTAATTTTATATCAATATTATTTAATTTAAAAATTAAAAAATTAAAAAGAAATATTAATTTTTATATATATTTTACTGTTCACCGTATTGGTGAACAGTGAAAACGTAGGATTTGGTGTAAGAATAACATTTTTTCTTTTTATATTTTCTTCTATAAACTTATTTTAGTTGCATACTTAACTTATCATATGATGTCATAGAATAAGTGTTCATTTTTTGTATTTGCATAAGATTGTAAATATTAGGCTTAGTGTCTTTCCCTTTTTTATCTCAACTTTTAAAAAGATTGTTTTAATATTCCAACTTTTTAAAACCTATCACATTAATCCTTTTCGTCTAGTCTTATAGTCAAAGTGAATGAGATATGTATTTTTTAGGGTTTCAATGAAAAATGTGTGAATTTTCACTGTATTTTTCTGGGTGTTAATGAAAAAAGACTGTCAAGAGGCCAAAACTTCATCTTCCAACAATCCTAAAGAAAGGACAAATTATCCCTTGTATCTATTGTAAGGACTGTTGAATCTGAATTTCCGCCATGATAGTGCTCTTGAAATTTCTTATATCTCTTAGGCACAATACAATAGTTATGCAACAACGCCAAAAGCAATTACAGCTATCCAAATCCAAATCAGAAGCACACCTCAACAGTTTCTTCCTAGACACCAATTCTCTATCACAACAACCACATAGCCAGGATTCTGACATGTTAATAAATCTATACATTTTTCGGGATTTCAAAAGTATCTTAATGTGGAGATTTGTCTCAATTAAAAGTGATTATTATAATGCTATAAGCATATATATTATGTCAATTTACTTCCTTTTATTAGAGTATTAGAGAGAGAAAACATGAAAAGTGTGACTTTATCTTACAGTTTCCTGGATCTATTATAAGCAATGAAAAAAAACAGGGTCCGTGTATGCAAATAAATGGTTATTAAATTTTATCTTACAATTAAAAGTGAATATTATAACGCAGATGCAAATAGATCAACAGCCATTCCACCCCATATCCATACAATATATAGTTTTAAAAAAATTATTTTTAATAAGCCTATATGCATTTTAGTGTAAGTGCTTATTTATTTGCTAACTAAATTTTTTAAAAGTATTGTTAAATACTTAAAATAATAAATAATTAAATATTAATAATTTATTTTTTATTAAAAATATAGTTAAACAGACGAGTAATTAGTCATTCATAGTAAATTCACGGTTGGGATAAAGAAATTTACAAATATAACGTTCTATTGGATAATTACATAATCAATAAGAACATGTCATTTATGCTTTTTAATAAACCGAGGATGGTAGTTCAACCACTTCTCACATAATAATAAGACTATGACCCTGCTTATAAACCCCCCTCTTTTGTTGCTGTGGACTCAAATGTGTAAGCATCTTAGGCAAGCCGAACTTGGCCTCGACCCTGCAAATTAAATTGTAACAACCAGGTCCTGCAGCTTCACCCACCCAAAGCTACAACGGTCTCTGATCTTTTGTATTGTTGATGCAGCAAGTTCCACTGTTGGCCTGATTTTGATCAACTCCTTCTCGATCGGTATCCTAGCCTTAGCCTCCATCTGGAGAAATAAAAACATGAACCAGAAAAAAAATTAGTGATTAATCAAGTTGAATGATCAGTTGATCGTTTTTCATCTATATGACTTAGATAACACAATTAACAACATCCCTTTTAAGATTTGACTGGTTTGCATTAGCTTTTTTAAAATAATCACCATTAAGTAACATACCTTTTCTATAGAGCTAAAGGTATCAAACACGTGACAAAAATATGAGAGCTGCTTGTACAAGTCGGCTTCAGTGTACTGAAAAATCAAAGAAATATTTGGTTAATTAACTCAAAAAACAAAGCATTAAAATTTCATTATTATAAACCACCTCACATATATGAAAAGGCTGTTCATATACAAGTTCACGGAGTGAAACCTTTCTATTGAGATGCCCGTTGCAGCGAGGATAATTTGGACAGACAGTTCCTCGCTCAGAATCACCAACCAAACGAAAGCTGACACTTCGCGTTGTATGCTTACATGTTTCATCATCACACTGGATACAAAATAAGATGAGCAGATGTATTGCAGGGTATTAATATTCACAATTTACTTTAGAGTAGTGACTTACCATTAGTAAACCTCTATAATACATTAAAACAAACTTCTCTGCTTGCCGCTTGACCTGACATGAAGCAATAAGCAGATGATCAAGAACGGTATTCTATGCTAATTTTCCAATTCAAAACAATCATGTTATTACATATCACTGATAATCTTCTATTGAACCATGTTCTGAAACTAGTATAAAAACCTTCCTAGCTGCTCTGGCAGCTGAACAATGCAATTTTAGTGAAGCCTTAATCTTAAACTAATGATACCTGATTGGCTATCATTGCAGGAGATATTCTACCAACACCATTTTCAAAGCATTTCGGACAGCCCAGCTTGTGCCAGAAATTATAGTCAGATTCATCCGCGCCTAAGCTGTCTGGCTTTTCATTTCCCAACATACACATTGTTTTAAACACGGGTGGGCAGTCAAATGTAGTAGAGCAGCTGGGGCATGACAAGACTAACGACTCACATCCTCGATACCTGCATTTAGTTTTAGCACATCCAATCCATTAACTATTTACGGCTAGAGAAAATCATTAAAGAAGATCAAAAACTTTAACAGAACTATAAGTACTGTAACTTGCATGTCTGCAATAAATGTTGGTGACAGTTAACAAAAAGAAAGATGCTTTGGCAGCAAATTAACACTGTCACATTTAACTGATACTATAGAAACAAGATGTACCTCTCATCATCACCAGCAAACAAGAGTGAGCTTGTAGGATCATCCTTTAAAGTTTCACTTGATTTCTGTTGAAACTGCAAATGCCAATGAAAAAGGATAGTTGATATCAAAAATAATTAACATAAACTACCTGCCTCTGAATGCTGAGACAAACCAAGAAGGTTTACCTTTGATGTGTCAAGCCCTAAACAATCAGCTAGTCTTTCAGGGCTTGTGCCCTGAATTGATGCACAAAGGCGTGATACCACGGGATGAATCTGCAGATGAGAAGAAAATACTCAATCAGATCCGTACAGTAATAATTGTTATTCATAAAAATAGGTACTAAACTACAAAGCACCTGTTGTGACAAATAGTAATCAATGTCAATTAGCCATGTCCCCTGTTCTTGTTTTAGTTCGTCGGGATGTCTGGCACGTTGAGCAATTCCCGTTCCACTGCCTGAACTACCACCCTACTCAAAGAACATAATAATAAAATACAACGAAGCAAGACTTCATATGACAAAACGTTAAATACCCAATGCAAAACATATTTCAAAGCCATCCCAGTTGACCTTTGATTGAGAACACTAAATGACAAACCTGCTCACAGCAAATTATATAAGGGATTGTATCACCAACAGAGCAACCAGAGGTGTGACCTTGTTGTTTCAATCTTTGTGCCACCTGTATGTTGATCAAGAAAACTATCCTCAGAACTCAGCAGTTCAGAGCAAAAGAAAACACAGATCGGATGATTTTAAGTAAAGGAAAATAAAACATAGTTTGTACTCACAAGAACATGTGGCTGGTTTTTGGCATCAGGATAAGCCTCAGGTGGTTTAGTCAATGTCTTTGTGATGACATATTTTTCCAATTCTATTTGTCCATTCCGCATTTCTTCTTGAACCTGCATTACAAAACTAACTGTCAATTGTTGGCTGGAAAAATAACCCTCAGAATCATACTTCAATTATATGAAAAGTTATAAGGTAGGGAAAAATCAACTACTACAAAATCTCAAATAAAATACAATGCCCTCTCTTCTGATTATAATTAATTAGACCAATAAAAAGAAATGTCGACCGCTAATGAGAAACCTAATCAAATTTGAATATGTATCAAGGCATCTGGGAGACAAACTTCCCTGCTATAGCATTTGACTCTCCACCAAGGAGTAGGGAGCTCAAAGATTGAAGTATCTTCCTTTAAAATTCTTTCAACAATCGCTTGGGAGTTTACTATATGCAAATGTATGATACTATAAGACATCACAATTTACCTTCATGAGAGAGTTGTGAATTGATTCAACGACATCTTCGCATGATCTGTAGGCAAGGAAACCACAAATTAAGTTACCAGATACATGAGTAATTATTGCATCTAGAACAGCCAGATTGTGCTATAGCAACCTACCCTCCCGACAAAATTTGAGTCAAGCAAAAATCTCCTAAATCTTTTGCTAATAAGCTCCAGTCACGGCGCACAATATCAAGACCTTTACGTTCAATAACCTGCACCATACAATAATTTCACGGGAATGTTCTTTTAAGATGTTAAATGAATTATGCAAAATAATAAGATAAGCATACCTCATATGGGACGCCATCCTTAAACTGCACCTTAACGGCTGCATACTTCTTTTTCTTGAGAAGTAGCATCCTCTTATACAAACCATCAAGATCAATTTCTAAGCATGTATATTTCTTGTTGACCTAATAACAAATCAAAGGAGAAATCACAGATCATGAGATCATTAAATGCAAAACAAAAACTGTAAAGGAAAATTGCCATATATTCTTGAAACATGCCAAAACTATCTGTAAAAGCAAATAGTGCAAAACAATATGATAAGCCTCATTGCAGCAGTTTGAAACTTACCTAAGCACACTCACCGACGGCAAGAAACAGGAAATACAAACATTTTAAACACCAAATACTCTTTCAAATTTGGAGTCTAGAAAAAAAAATCATTATATTTCATTTGAAGGGAGGGATAACAAGGATAGAAAACTTGGGCTCAAAAATATAATGTTGCAAAACATAAGCAGAAAGGTGGGGTAAACATCAACCCCTGTCTACCCCAAAAATTATCTGTAATAGCCAATAGTGCAAAACAATATGTTAAGACTTTATTGCAGATGTTGGAAACTAATGTAAGTAAACTCGCTGATGGCAAGAAACAGGAAATACAGACATTTAAAGTATCAAATGCTCTTTCAAATTTGAAGTCTAGAAAAATCACTATTTCATTTCACAGGAGGGATAACAAGGCTGGAAAACTGTCTAAAATACCGTGTTGCAAAAGATAAGCAGAAAGGTGAGGTAAACATCAACCCCATCATGAGTTCATCATACAGGTTTCAAAGGAGCTTTCAACAGCTAATAGTCACACCTTACCTCTTGAATAACTTTCTTAGACATTGAAGTTGCTTTTGCAATATCATCTAGCCCACTGTAAATCATTATTGAATCGGTATCACCATAGATAACCTATAAGTCAGTAAAATAATTAAGAGCTAATACAACAATCAGTCAAATCAAATGATTTATTTTAATACAACAATCAGTCAAATCAAATGATTTATTTTAATACAACAATCAGTCAAATCAAATGATTTATTTCATATACATAATAAAATCATACAATACTTCGAGAAACAGTGCAGTAGAAATAACCTCTAAATTCAAGTTATTTTGAACAAGATCAACGGTGCTTTGTAGTATCTCCCTTCCCTGTAAGACATCAGACATGTAAGTGAATATGCATGTGTCTGAGACTATATTGAGAGTATTTAATCATTGGCTGTGCTGAATAAGTCATAATATTTTTCTTACTTGTAGGGTGATGAGCTCAGCCAGCGGCTTTGCATAAAATCTTGAATTGGAAAATCCCAGGCATCCATACATACTGCATCACACACCATAACATTTTTTGAATGCTGAAAGAAGAACAGAACTAGAGGCTAGGAAAAACCAAGATTAAACCTGTTTGCAGTAAGCTTCAGTGCTTGCTGCTGAATGTCCAGTTGCTGACGTTTAAGACCAGACGCAGTCTTCATCCATGTCTTTACATCTCGCCTCCACTTAACAAGCTTTCTCAGCAACTAGCATAACAAACAAAAAAATAAACATATGCAACTAATTTCTGCAGTCTCTAGGATGGTGACAAACATCGTCTAAATAGGCTACAAAAGTGTCCCAAATTATGCATGCATTGATAAAACAAATGAAAAACAGACATCCTATTTTGACCAATGTAAATCCTTGCAAATAAATACTGGACATTGATTATGCTATTCTTGGTCAATGTAATCAACAGAGGTGCATTCTGACAGAATTCTAATGTAAGACAACTTTTTAGATAATTTATAATATTTATCATAAAGGGCCATGTCTGAGAAGTTAAAAAAACAATTTTCAAATTTAAAGCCATTTATCGTCTCTCGTGGGCCAAAATCATGAATTTGAAATTACAGCTCTGTATCTGTAGGTAAAATTTCCAAAACATGTTTCTCATCTCTCCAACTAACCAGGACAGTCATAAGTTTACCTTACTTAAAGTGCTATACCCTGAAAATAAACAAGATGGAGACAACTCAAAATAATCTAACCTCGGGTTAAATTCTCCAAACAAAACTGTAAGTCTAAATATTTTTCAAAATGTAAAACAGAAGATATTTTAGCATAAATTAATCGCTAACTCAAATGTAATTGGACCTCATTGATAATTAAAACTTCCATGCACCCAGAAATAGACAACTACATTGTGAAAAATGCAATGCAATCATATACAATAACACCATAGTAGTTTGACACATCAAACTAGAAGTTCAAAAGAATCTGACAAGTCCTATAATACTGGAAAAGTTATTTTAAAGATTATCTGTTTGCATCTTTGCATTTTTACCTCTGGCAAGACTCCAGTTGTTTTACTAGATGGAAGACGAGGAAAAGATCCATCTGACAATCTTTCAACAGTCGTGAAGCAGATATTATATTCCTGCAATGCAGTTCAGTAAGTTGCAAATAAATGAAACTGCCACAAACTACACCATTGGAAGCAAAGCAGACAAGCAAATAAAACAGACAAAATGCCAAAGGAGTGAAAGTGACAGCAAAATCAGAAACATATTTTGAAGGAGAATTTTATCAACCTGAATGATGGATGGGTATAGACTGTTAAAATCCAGAAGCAATATATATTTGTCATATAGACCCTTCTTTGGCTCTAAAACCAGCCCTCCAGCATAGGAAGAAGCCTTTTTGTTTTTCTTATGATCACTTTCAGAAGCATCATTATGATAGTTTGCATCACTGTTATCTGCTTCATCAAAGTTGCCACCATCAACACCGGAAGTTACTCTGCGTTTTGTCAACTTTGTTTCTTTTGCGTTATTAGAAAACTTGTCTGGAACAATATATTTCTTTTTATGGAACTCGTGCAACAAAAGATACTCCACCCTCTGGGCCCGGGCACCCTGAAATAGAAAACATTAGGCATGGGCCTCTAACTTCTACATCATGTACAATATCAAAACAAGCCAGCAAATAAATGCTGCAAGGGTTCACCTGAAGAGTTTTCCCCCACAGATTTCCACTTATATTAGTCAACTGGCGTGTGAGAGGAAGGACACTCAAATAAAACATGAGTTCCATAGACAACCATGCATCCGTTTCACCATATTCAATCTGACCAAATCAAACATAAGCATGTCATACAATTGTCATGTTTGATAAATCAAGTATGTCAAATGAAAGTGGTAAAAACAATTAGTTGATAAGATCCCTTAACTTGATCATCTAGATTCTGCATTTTTCATTTTAGTCATAACATACTCGGCATTACAATATTTCACTATCTATGAGTGCAGCTTATTGCATAATGTATCTTGATTTATTTTGATGCAGAAAAACAGAAATGAAAAAAGTTTCATATCAGTGGAATGCTATTCGTTGGAAAAAGGAGCCTGTTTATAACTTGCACAATGAGCACCTCAAATAGCTTGTCAACAATATTTAAAATAAAAACTATCCGGGGACAGTAGCACCTACTAGCTCCATCAGGGATTTGGTAGATTGGAACATTTTTGGAAGGTCGTGTGGAGCAACTTCCTTCCGAGACTGGTTGAGCTGTGTTTTTGCAAGGTGAGTTAAAGAATAACTAACCTGGAAGAACCAATGAAAGTAGTTAGCAAGAAAGAAAAAAAACCACCAAAATCCCTGATTGGCAAAATTTCTCATCAAATATTTTACCTCCTTTAATAGGTCACGAGAACACAAATATGTATCACAAAGAAGCCGACCGGCAACACAGGACATGATAGCAGGATCAGCTCCAAAACCAAATGTTTTGCCTCTTCTATCAAGCTTAGGCATTGTGGAACGGTTGAGACGGCCAAGTTTAGACCACAAGCTGCTTGGAACCTTGCAAGCCTGCACAAGTTTGTGTTTAAAGGAGCAGCAGCAGCAGTGTCTTCATATTGTAAAATTGCATTTGGATATATGATGAAAAGAAAATGAGCAATTATTGTGGAAATAGGAAATCCAAGATAAAACTTTAAGGTATGAAGATTATAAACTCCTTATAAATTGTAATACTTCAATTAAATAATTGTCTGAAGTTTCACTTTCAACCAGCTACCTTCCCAGTATATCCAACATAATCAACTTTAACAACAAACTTTGGTCTTAGGTGAAATTCATACTACTTTTTACCAGACCTAGTCCAAACAATTTGAACCAAATGTTAATTGTCAAGATGTCATCCTTTGGAAAGCAACGAATAATAAAAAAGACTATAAAGTGATATGAACAATTCAGTTAGTTTCTATTCAATGTGAAAAAGGTCATATAATTGGACAAGAAAGCAACCAAACTCCTACCTGAGATCTGTGAAGAAGAACATCCAGGTCAAATCCAGAAATATTATGTCCAACAAGAACATCACTATCCATCTTGTTTAATTCTATCATTAGACGATTTAACACAGCTCTCTCACTGAAAACAAAGTTAATAAATAGTCAATCCTGGAAGTAATCATATTCAAAAACAAAAGGAAAAAAAAAAAAAATATATATATATATATATATATATATATATATATATATATATATATATATATATATATATATATATATATATATATATATATATATATATTGTTATTACTGAATAGCATAATATTTTAACTCTAAGCACAGCATGTGGTCGTGCATATAAGTAAAACACTCAAACTATTAACAAGTCTTTTAAACTACCTGGTTTCAAAGCACAGAACATTTGACCCAGCTTTTAAATTTCTATCTGTGACCTCCTTGTTGAATCCCATTGGCCATATACACCGATCAGGTTTGCGAATAACAGTAAAATGGGTCAGCATTCCAGGTTTCTTCCACTCTGAAGCCAGCATAGGAGTGTCAATCTAAGAAGTCAAACAGGAAAGGTTAATGTTGATCTTATTTTCACCTTACTACCAACTTATATTATATAGAAAAACTAGTACATATCTTTTAAAGTTAATAATAATATTCAAGCTGTTTATGACGGCATAAAGTGATATATTTACACAGAACATTTACAATTATCAAGTTCAAGCTTCAATTTGTTTTAAGCTTCATCAAATACGAAGAAAAATTCAGCCTATTGCCTATTGTATCAACTAAGATGATTTTCCACAAGCACGGTCAAGCAATTATCTGACTTTGTAAGCAGACAGATGCTAGATTATTATGAATTTAGTACATGTGCATCATCATAAGTTGCAAAATATTGTGAAACGTTTAAAAGAAATAACTAAATTGTCATCTTCTGATTTGCTAAATTTACATTACAGCAAACAACATTACATCAGCCTGAATAATTAAACAGATAAACTGAGAACGATTGCCTGAAACTTAGAGGTTTGTATAGACATAAGTGCACATAACAACAAGAAAACATGAGATCAAATTAAGTAGAAGATACCAATTCTGAACACCCATGAGCATCAATAACCACATCAACAGAATAAAAGATATGGGTAAAGTAAATCTATTTGCAAAAGTTGTTAGTGATCTTTACCTTTCAAAATAAACCAAATCTACTACTAAAATCTGAGTTGGAAATGTATGTATGCATGTATGTCACTCTCAGTTTTCCTATCACAAGAAAATAAATACCTAACATATACAAGTGGCAAGGCAATGATAATTTTGCCAGTAATAACAAACTCAATAAGCATACTGACATTAAATTGAACCTTTCTGAAAAATAGATTTGCATATAAAAATATGTATTCAAAAGTTCTGATATGATATGAATGTGCATGTATATCAGTGCACTTTAAGCTCATGAAAAAAGATAACCTTATACATAACAAAATCAAAGTGATGGCAAGAAATCTAAACACTAATAAAAGAACAGTAATCAACCTTAACCATATTGCAACTGACAATAGATGCAGATATAATTTCATTTATGTTCTGTTTTTCGTTTACGATAGTTTTCAAGTTTATCGCCGTGACAACCACAGGAGGAATCACAAGAGTGATTTTTGAGGAAGATGAAGAAGAAACCCTGATGTCTTTAGGAGAGTCAACAGTCACTTCAAACTTGCACCAGCTAACCTGTATGCACAAACAACCCGTTAAGATTTAAAAAAGAAAAGGATGCCTCTGTAGGAAAAAAAAAATATATCATATACATTACTCATAGTAGATACTCATAATGAAATCTCACCCTTTGAGAAGCTGGGCAGGTAGAAAAGTTTGATAATTGTAGCCATGTAGGCCCCTTAATCTTTCTTTTAATCAAAAATAGCTCAAGTGCACTGCAGTTGGGGATAAAGTTAGTTCATTTGTTTTTCTAAGAAATCATTGTTCAATTTAAGAACACTTTTCAACACAAGTTCAAGAATTGCAGCACCAATAAATCGGGAAAGCTTGGAATTGCTGAACAAAAATCTCAGTGGAACAGATGACAGACAAAAATAAACACACCCAAAAAATAGAGCTCCTAAGTTTCATGTAGCCTGATTCAATCAATTTCCATAGAGATTGCATTCTTTAATTATAACCAAAACATCAGAGGATGGCAATACCTGCTTCGAGCTCCAAGAATAGCACGGAAACTTTCTCCTTTGAGGTCTACTGGAAGTGCTCTATCCTGCAATGGTTAAAATTGTGGTAAACATTGAAACAAATTACTCATATAACAAGCTCCTGAGGAAATAATGAAGACATATTTTGCCATTTTTAATTTATATTGAGAATAATAATAGATTAACAGTGTACCTTGAACGGATAATTTATTTTCACCACATAATTTTCACCTGCAGGTATGTCAGATCGTTCAAATGCATAATTCCTCTGCAAAAAACGAGCAAAGAGTCAAAATAGAAAAACAAACAAAAAGAATGTATACAAAGGCATCACATAACTTATATATGCATTCATGGCATCAGAAATAATTAATAAGCAAACCTTAACAGGTGCCATGCTAAAGGTAGAAACGCCCAGATCCACAAGGTGTTTTGCTATCTCATTCTTTGTATCAGATACTGCGTCCTACAGTTTAAAAGAGATGTGGGACAAAATAGATTTAATCAACTCAGGGCAAAAGAAATTAGGTGGAAAAAAAAGCCAAACGAACATAAAATAAGCACAAAAGTCATATACATTTATGCATGATGTCAACAGCGTGGAAACTTACTTGCAGCTTTTTACGGAAATCTGCAGGAGTAATTTTAGACTCTTGGACATATTTCTCAAGCTGTATCATCTCAGTGGAACGCAAAGGAGTAGTTGGAATTGCGTAGACACACCTCTGCATGTTCTTCACAACAACACAGCAACTCTGATACGAATTCCCTGTTTTGACCTAATTATCAACAAGAATACTAATAGTCAAAATCATTGTATTACTCCAGCTTTCTGTTGGTCAGGTACCGGAAAAAAAAAAGTGAAAAACTCAATTCCCAAATTTTACTAGACAACTATCCCCATGGATGAGAAGTTGGCAGCAAGAAACTAAAATCTTGTAGGTGAATAAAAACGCATGCAATGCCGTGCATTATTGTGAACAAAAAGGTTCTTATTTCAATTACATTTATGCTCGCTAACAAAACAATGGCTATTAGGAAAAACCATATGAAAGACATATATATATGTGAATGGGAAAAATAAAATCGCATCCGCATTAGATCAAACAACTACAAAGTATTAACTGTTTTGACTTTGAGATTATATAGACAGTACTTAAAGCACAAGAGAGCAACAAATAGTAGGGAAGTCATTTAAGTATTACAATCTTCTCAAGGTAATCAACAAAAACTTCAAAATGAAATTACCAACTCAAATTATCAATCGACTTATCAAATTAACAGAAAACTTATTTTCAAAACCAAAAAATTACCTTCCCAAACAAATAAAGAGAACCCATATTGGCTCCATAATACTCCTCATAAGCATCAAGTATGTAAAAAGGCAGTGAACCCTCTGGCTCCAACTTGAGTTCAGACTGTTGTTGATTATTCAAATCGGCAATTTTTATCTCACCACCACCAGCAGTCCTTGCAGCCTGCCAACCAGCAGTAGCACACAATTTTGGATCCACCACCTCTTCAGTAACTTTCGCATTCAAAACAAAACCCTCTTTTTCCACAGCAGGTTTAACTTCCATTTCAGCTTCTTTCACCTCCGCAACTTTCTCTTCAACTAAATTCCCATTACTCGGAGAAGGACAGTCACTAGGTTCCACCTTCATTTGTGACTCGTCATTTCCCAGACTTCCATTAACTTCTGCTTCACAATTTGCCTCTAACACTAAGCTAGATTCATTAGACTTATCCTTAAAATCCTTATTAACCATAACAGATTCAGTATCAACTTTTGCAATTGCAATATTTTGATGCAAAGAATAACTTCGTACAGGTTCAGTAGAGGGCTTAATCCGTGATCCTCCATTGGCAATAGAAGACGAAATTGCCTGCAGTTTTCTCCGGCTGAGTCTATCAGTCTCATCCGGTGCAAACTCCTTGAGAACATCGTCAACAATGCTATCAGCAACTTTATCATCTCTATTCTTCTTAAAAACCGCAGAAGTGAACATGGACGAGACTCTCTGCGGTCCCATCATAGCAGCCGCGGCTGAAAGCGCGGCAGCAGAAGCAGAAGGACGTTTACTCTGAGAATTTTCCTTCTTCCGTTTTGGCTTCTCCGATTCACCGCCAGATTCGTCTTCGGAGAGTGTGACACCGGCTTTGGACCAATCCTCTTCTTCGCCTTCATCGACGTAACCGAGTCCGTCGTCGTCAACGATGAACGAGAGTGATTGATCACGGCGGCTAGCGACTAGGGCGGTGTATTCTTCCTCGGGGATTGTGTCGTAGATAGGGTTTTCTAACCTGATTTGAGGTTTGGCGGCGTCGGAGCGACGGTCGCCGGATCGGCGGGATTTGAGAAGCTCTAATGCTTGGCTGTGGGAAGTGGATTTGGGTTCTCTTGTTGCCCTTCGCTTCCTGCTTGAACCTTCTTGATCCGCCATTTCTCTCTATCTCTATCTCTAACTCAGTTACTGTGATCTTAGAAGTTGAAATGAGAAGAAAAACGGCGTCAAGGGTTTTTAGTTTTTAAGCACAGCGCGGGAAATCGAATTGATTTTGGCGCGCTTTTGTTTACAACTAAACATTTGTGATTTTGTTCGATAAAAAATTATTTGCTTCTTTGCAACCAAAAAAACTTATTTGATTAAATGCATTTTTTTTATTTTCTATTTTTATTATTCACAATTTTATTTCTCTTATTTTTTAATTTATTTATTGATTTTAAAATGTTATAATTTTTCTCTCTTATTCATACTTTTTTCAAATAAAAAACTTTTATTGTCAAAATCAATAAAAACGTCAGATTTATTTGGATCTCGAAAATGTCTAACTTCGTTGTAATTTTTATCTCTATTTTATGCATAAAGTGTTAGTGTTTATGTAATATTTAAGTTTGATTAATTTATTTAAATTGAATTATTTATATTTTATTTAATTATTTTGGTGTTTGTGTGTCTTTAAATAAAATTGGTGATTTAATATGTTGTTGGAAAGTAGTGATAATGGTAGGTGTGGTGAGAATGTAGTGGCTTGGTAGAATAATTTAAAAAATAATTAGAATAATTAGTATTTTAATCAATAATAAAAATAAATTGAGAAAAACCGTAAAAATGAAAATTTGGGTTGATTGTGTGATTTGAGGGAAGTATGTGGTAAGAGAAAAAGCTGGGAATAGATTGGACAAAACTATAATTTTGAAAAATAATTAAAATATTATTTATTCTAAAAATTGGGAGAAAATTAGGTTAGCGAGAACTTTTGTCAGCACGTGAAAACAAGGAGACTAGAGAAAACAAGAGCAATTAGAAGAGAGTTAGGTTTTGAAGGGAGGATACATATGAGTTGCTTGAATTGCTATTGTTGTTGAAAAACTAAGGTAAGGGGGAGGAATGACTATCAATATGTGTGTATTGCATGATTGGGGTAGAGAATGGATGTTTTTACACTCATTAGGATCCCATGATTTGCTTTGGTGAATTGTGGTTGTGCTAGAAGTCTGGAATTTATGCATTGATTATGTGTATACATGTGTTTCTATGATTGAATTTGTGTTTGAATTATCACGAATATGCATGTATAAATTTTGGTCATTGATGAATGTTTGAATGCTTAAGTTGTGTTCATGATTGATGATAAAATTGTTGTTGAAATTATTGATGAATTAATATGAATCATGATTAATTGGTGAAACTAGGTGTTAGATTGTGGAAAACTATCATGTTTTATGTAATATAATTGATGTATGGATTATCTTGAGCGTTTACCTTTTTACGAAATCGAAATCGGAGGTTCGGAAGGCCTCCAGTGGTGAAAAATTAGCAGAAAAACATTGTTGAATAATTTGATTCGAAACAGAGGTTTACATTGCGATTATGATTCGAATCATAGCCTTCTGAGTAGCCCCTGTCTAGTTTGATTTGAAACAGATTTTACACTTAATTCATATCAAAAAGGCAAATTAAGCCAAAATATTGTTTTTATCATAACTTTTGTTATGTAGGTTCAAATGAGACGTCGCTTGAAGGGTTCAAAAGTTAATGCGTAGAGCTACCTCATGGTAGTGCTTGGTGAAATAATTAAATTGTAGTCATGTGTATACTGTAGGGTTATATGTAATGACATGTATGATCGATTAACGATTCGTTGTGATTACCTAATGATGTGTTGACGTTATGATGAATTACGATGACTGAATACTTATGAATATGCATTTGTTGAGTTGTTGCTGCTTGGTGATGTTTTTTTATGTCATAACATCGATTAATTATTGTGTATAATGAATGATGTTATGCATAAGGGTGATAAATGCATGGTGATTATTTTGGTGAACCTTTTTGGTGATAATGCATGTTATTAAAAGTCATGCATCATGTTGTACAGACTTCGGTTTAGCTTCGGTGTGCTCTGGTCCTATGGCTGGGATCCAAGAGCGAGTAGCTGGTTCTATATGGGAATCAGTGAAGCACTGTCTATGGTGATGGTAATGGTTTGGTGTGCTCTGGTCCTATGGTGAGGATTCAATAGCGAGATGAAATTGTGTGTTCATAAATGGCACCGCATGCATAATGAATCACTTGTTGAGTATATTTCATACATGTTTGCATATGTAGTTGATTGCTCATGATATCGTTGATTGGTTAAGAGAATGTGCATGTTATTATGAATGAGTGTGAGACCATGTTGTTGTTGATTGTGTGATGAATGTGTGTTTGTTGTATATTATCTACCTTAGCATTCTTTACACTATTTATATTGAATGTTGTTTCTCACCCCCTTTGCTTCATGTTGTCCATCATGTACATCTTGCAGGTACTTATGAGTGATCATTGTTTCAGTATGTTGGAAGGTGGCTTGTTGAAGCTACTACTCGCTTTTATTTTTTTTGCTTTTTAACACATCAGTGGTTTACTACTCTGGTCGTTTAACATTAGGGGCGAAGTTATTATGTTTTTGAAGTTGTTGTTGCTTTGTTGTTTGAAATTTACAACATTATTTATGAAGTTGTTATGAAAGTGTTTTACCGCTGTGTAGTTTCAAATGATTTGATATATTTTCGAATGATTATCGTTAGTGACACCTTAAATTGTCGTGTAATGCTTTATTTATAAGTTTCCAGATTTAAGGTGTTACAATTTACATGCGATTTTAGTATTCAATGCATAGTACATTTCATGATTATGGTGTATATGATCTTTTCTTTTAGAGCTTGCTCCCAAAACTCTGTGTATGGTTTTAGCAATTGTTGTAACACCCCAAATTTAATCGGAATATATTAATTAATTATTTAATTGAAAATATTCATATTTCGGTGAATTTTCGGTGGTTTTGTGAATATTGGAAAAAATGTGCATTTTCGGGTATTTATTTGATTAATAGCATATAATATTAATTTATTAGTATTATTATTAATTAAATGGAAAATAAGTGAAATAAGGGCAATTTGGGCATGATTTGTGAGATGCGTGATTTGTATAATCAGTTAAGATATATACACTTGAATTGTAATATATATTCAACCATTTTGATTCCTACGGGATTTACGTCCTCTCCACAGGGATCAGTGTGAGGGAAAGAATGTCGTTTGACAATCTCCATGTCTCTAAGTTTAGGTTTGAATGGTTTGGGATAAAAATGAAAAATGAAAAACATAAAACAAGAAAATAAATACATTCTTAAGAAATGAGAAAACTCGTCAGAAGTTGTATTTCGTTCCACCCATCGTGTACTAAAAAATACATTCTTAAGAAATGAGAAAACTCGTCATGGTGGAATATACATTACAATTCAAGTGTATATATCTTAACTGATTATCCACCCTGTTCATCATCTCACTTCGAATTCCTCGGTTCTCCTTTCTTTTGCAATGTGTTTCCTCTCCTTTCTTCATACGCGTGTCTCTCATCCATGAAATTAACAAAGCTTTCTCCCCAAGTTCGGTTCGTGGTCGAACGGTGGCCCTTGCAATGATTCAAACAGAAAAAACAAATCAAAATAGATATGAACCAAACACTATGAATCAAGCGGAAGAGTAAAGGATTTCACCGATTCGTTAATAGCAAATGGTGGCGACGTTCCGGTGTGAAGCGATTTGCGGACGACGATGACTTTGAGGGGATTCTTTGATGCTTCGTGGACGAAAATAGCGATGGAAGGTAGTCTTTTCCGGCGATGATGAAATGTATGACGACGGGTAGCTAGCGAGGGTTTGAACGTGTGGATGCAGATCAACAGCGGAACTAAAAAAAGATAAGCCTCCTTTCGTTCGAACTTAGGGTTTCGATTTGGTATTTTTGGATGTTTGAGTCAATTGTTGTGTATTTGTTGTGAATTTCGTCCGTTATCAATGTCTTTTTTTGAATCTCAAATTCCTCTTCTTCTTATAGTCTCCACCCCAAGATTCCAATCAATAAGGCTTTAAATGGATTTCCAGATTTGGTTAGACATGTTTGATTATTTTGGAAAGAGTTTATGAATTTGTCAACACTAATTTGGAAGGTTTTTTTTAACGTAGTTTGGTTGTGTCTGAGCCTGTTTTGGAATTACTTTGAATGCCCTGATATCTGGTCTTGCATAAAATTTCTTGAACACGTAATTTACACACCTTCCTTTTCCACTTCAAACATGCCTGCAATTTGGTTTTCAATTGTCATCAATATATGTGATTTTTGATTGATTTCCACTCTCAATTTGATATTTTATTTGTTCTAATTATATCCTTTTTTTGCAGGAACTTTGAGGACAAATAGGACCGGTTTAATTCCATAAGAGCACGACTGACATGACTTTACTATGCTGGCCTTCCCGTTATGTTTAATGAACAAGGATTGATGATGATTACCCACAGATTGTTTAGTTCTACACGTGTTCGACATTGTTGTTGTTGTTGTATTATCTGAAGAGTTGCCAGTAGGCAATTTACCAAAGTTCCTTTACAAGGTTGGGTGGACCAACTCCATATAGATTAAAAAACAGGAACATGTATTCTTTTATCATGAACATCACGATCTACTATTCTAAGGGCCATTCTAAACTATATCTCTTTTGAATTTGCAGGTTGTCATGTCGAAATCCTTGCGAGAAGTGCTTCCCGCTCCTTATCCCTCAACAAACTCATGCTCAAGATTGACAGGAGCGTATACGGGGATTTTAGAGAGTTTCTTTTTTTGGTCTGTGATGACATGTAAATGGAGGTTAACTCTGAGATGGAATATGATCAGAGCAACCTCCATACGGACTGCTTGCATTGTTCATTGTATTTTGTCTAGAGTTAACAGAGTTTTGATGGAGAAGCCCAACAATAGTGCTTGTGGTTGTTGATGCAGACGCTGAGTTGACAGAACCATCATTTATTGTTGCTGTTGCTGTAGTTTTAATTGATCTTCATGCTCTTGCGCTTGATTACGAACTCCGCCTGAATTAACTGTTCTCCGAGGGAAACTTG